TATGATCTTTTACTATCGTATGTGACGTAAAAGCATAAGGTTGTCAAACGGTGCTTCTAAAAAGGCTCAACGTGAACTGGTAAAGGGCATTGGATCAAAATTAGTATGTGGCAGCCATTTTAATGAGTCTGTTAAAAGAGTTTGATTGTCTTCCTCATGAAATTGTATTTATTTAGCTAAATTGTCTGTTTTTAATAGATGACTATTTGTTTAGCCGTAGACAGTGTCATGATAAAATTGGTTCTGTTCTTAGTCATTACTGAGAACATTAGAAAAGAGGGCATCGCAAGGGTCACTTCTTGGGCCTCTCCTGTTTACTGTTTTCATAAACAATAAATTTTGTTATTATAAAAAAGTGCTTACACGACGACGGATGTCACATGTGAAGCAGGCTCTGTTTATCCTTCCGGTGCACCTGAGATCACCCCGGTGTTTGTATTGCTTAGTCTTTAGTTGTTGTTGTGTTATGATGATGACAATACCTTGTCCCTATCAGATTCCAATTATGATTACCTATTTAGATCCTTGAACAAATGATGCGAGCTTATAAATTAATTCAAAATAAATAAAATGAAAGCAAACCCTGACGAATTTCAGGACATCGCTATATATTGGTAAAAAAAAAACATTTGATTAAAATCCTGTTTTCAAGGATTGTATGTGATGATGATATCAAACTTCTGTGAATAAATATAGACTTTGGCATACATTTTGATTTTCATTTCTAAACAAGAAATCATAACAATTTAACGATTCAATAAGAATTGGTGATAAATTATTAGAACTATAAACAAATTAACATTTTTGTTAAAAACTTTTACCAAAGTTTGGTAAGTATTTTGAACACATCTATCCCATAAAATTTGAAATAAAGGAACAGAAACAGTTAAGTCTACATCATATCTTGAACTACATCTACAAATTGACAATGAGTGTCGGTTGAAAAGAAATCTTTGCTTCCCCATTGTGAACTTTCCATTTCAATGTAACAGTAGCAACATTCCAGCAGCGCCTGCATATGGAATATATATCTCCCAGTTGATCTGATATTCCAGGGCTTGTTTACAAGAAAGCTATTGAACCACGAGTTCCAAGTGATGAAAAGTTGAAATCTTCGAAAATTTCACGGACGCTATCACGAGTTGGTTGACCGTTATGGAATATCTGTTTCACAGATGACGACGGATATGTTCCAATTGTCGTTACACAATCCCGTCCTCTTTTCCTCGAATGTGACCTACGGAATTAGACTAATAATCGGGTTTGTACTTACACGAGCAACACGACGGGTGCCACATGTGGAGCAGGCTCTGCTTACCCTTCCGGTGCACCTGAGATCACCCCGGTGTTTGATAAGGTTTGTATTGCTCAGTCTTTAGTTTTCTATGTTGTGTTTCGTGTACTGTTTTTGTATATTCGTCGTTTTTCGTTTTTTCCCCATGGCATCAATTGTCAGTTTGTTTTCAACTTATGAATTTGAGTTTCCCTTTGGTATCTTTCGCCTCTCTTACACTTTGAAACTTTAACTTTTGTCCTTTTTCATGGCATTTTTGTAGTGAATCAAATGTAAAGAAAATCGTGAACCAAATCAGGAGAAGACTGAGATTTACATACAAAGATTATCTTTTAGATTATATTAATACATTGTTTGATGCCCTCCCTTAAAATATGACTCATGAGATCGATGGCTTTATAGTCTGTTACTTTATAACTGGCCTAGCTCCTCCAATAGTGATCTTGTCAGTCTCACTATAAAATCAAATCAATCCAAAGTATGATTCTAATATATTGGAAATTCCATCAATCAGAATAATTACTTTTTTTTAAAAATCCTCTTTAAAATGCTGCACTCGTATTATGGAACCCACTGTCTGAAAAACTACAGAAAATTAACAAATAGTAATCAATTTAGATAATGTATATTGAATAGTGGAACTGCTAGTGTCTGGAAATGTGTCTGTTGTAGATATATAACAATATTGTAAATATTTAGGTATAACATTTAGTGCATCAGGATCTTTTTCCTTTGCTCAGAAGGAATTGTACAATAAGGCACTGAAAGCATACTACAAGCTACGAAAGGACTTCTTGTCACTGAATCCAAATATTAAAAACAGCCTCCACGTATTTGATCATACAATTAAACCCATTCTTTTGTATAGTTCGGAAATTTGGGGCTTTTTTAATCCCTTAAAAAAAATTAAATTCTCAGACTTCTACAGTTGATCAAGCCTATCCTAAACTTCTTTCTGAAAGATGACATATGAAATTTTGTAAACTATTACTAGGTGTGGGGAAAAGAGCAACAAACTTTGCCACTCTTTCAGAACTTGGGAGATTTCTTTTAAATTTTGATATCACCAAATCTATGATCAGATACTGGCACCGGCTTGAAAATTTGGGTTCATCTTTTCCATTACTAAAAGATGCATATTTAGAGTCAAAGCTATTATTTGAATCAAAAATTCCCTCTTGGTATGGATCTTTAAACTATTTGCAAAAAAAATTAATGGGGTTGACAGTCTAGCCTTTGCAAGCAACTTTAGATTCAAAATTTTAATTAAAAAGTTTTTTTATCAGCACTATGAAATACAGTGGAGAAAACAAATGCACAATTGTGCTGATGGGAAGCTTTGTAGCTATAACACTTTTAAGACTCATTTTGGTCTTGAAAGATATCTTATACTTTATTACAATCACCTGAGCAGAGGAGAAATTTCACTCGATTGCGTATTTCTTCTCACAGACTAAGAATTGAACAAGGTCGCTATCAGGGTACTCTCCGACAAGACAGAATATGTCTCAGGTGCACCTCAAATGAAGTTGATGATGAAAAACATTTTTTTATTTTCGTGTACATCATCTCAAGACAAGAGAAATTGTTTAAATTCCACTATTAACTCACTATGCCCAAACTTTACGCATTTGATTCCTAGCCAAAAACTGATATGGCTTCTTAATGTAGAGAATCTTGATATCTTGATATCTGTCTGTGAGTTAGTTGATGAAGACAAAATATAACTTGAAAGATAAATATTTAAATCAGGTTTTCTGCACTAGGCACGAGAGCTGCATGGCATGGTGGAGTACAGGACACATCGTATAAGTTCTATTACCTTTTTGTTTGTGATATTTTTTTATTAAACTGGTAATATTTTATCTTTTCGTAATATGTGCACTTTGGTATATCAATTAGCATTGTCCCTTGGTGCCTCTTGCAGTTGTGTCACCTTAAATAGTACTGACTCCTCTGCACCAGGCACGAGGATGACATACCAGTTATGTGCAACTTCTTACAATATCTTACCATATCATTAATCATGTTAATGTCCCGATACACATTTTAATATGCACCCACCATGCCATATAGCACCGTCCCTTGGTGCCTCCTGCAGTTAAGCTAGATATATTTAGCCTACTCACAGAATTCTTTTTTGTTACTTTCTAGGGGTGTGCCTGAGACGAAGGTTTTATATATACTCCTATATATATATATACGAATATGTAAAAACTGTTGTTTCTTATTTATGTTTGTAACTATGTATACTGTATTGTTTATTATATTTGTAAAAATAATATTATAATGATATTATATTATGCTCCTTGTGATTATGCGTTGATATTTTCATTATAATGAGACGATATTTTTTACAAAATGTGCCTGCCATCTTGTTTCTCTCTGTTACTAACTTTGAATGAATTAGTTCAATGTTGCTGAAGTTTTTTTGTAAGATAAAAGCTCTTTTGAGCTTGTGTTTTCTGTGTTTTCTATGTTGTATAAATCAGACTTTAAATAAAATGTATCCTATCTAACTTTTATGTCAATGGGATTATAGCAATGAGACAGCACACCAACGACAACGATAACCAGAGCTTAATTTAACACACAATCTTGAACAACACACACTGTGTCTATGTCAAGTTTTTAATCGTCCAGACTCTATAAAAGTTTTAACTTAGAGTGGGTTGCTCGTGTTCGCCATAATTTTCCATGTTTTCTGCAGTATATGTTCAGGTCTTTATGTTTTTGAAGTATACTGATATTTCTATATGAAGATAACATCAAAAGCAAAATATTCTTAGCTTGAAAACGTTTTTCTTTGAAAAAATTCATCTGAAAAGTTAGATTAAAGGATATTTGAAATTTCCTGATGTTTTGTCAAAGGGGGACACATATTCGCCGTTTTTCCACATCTATTTAAAACCAAATAACTGCAGCTTTAAACAATATTTATCAAATCAATTTCATTATAGATGAATAGCAGACATTTCAAAGGTGTAAAGAACTGAAAATTAGGGCAATCAGTCAAAGAATTACTAAGAAATACTTCTTTGAAATCGTGTTTTTCATTCAGGAAATTGGCCGAAAATCGTTGACCGTTTTTCGGTCCTTTGAGGTAAGTGCCGAAATTTTGTCTAAGTTTAAAAAAATAATCATATTTGTTATAAAAATATAATTAACCAGCATATTTCTTCCATTTCAGCCATCCTTTGAAGTTTTTACACCTTAAAATCATAAAACGGCGAAATTGTGTCTCCGGCGAATATGAGCGCCCCACTCTACAGTTTAAGCTGGAGGGTCATTAACACAAGACGACTTTTCGTAATTAATTGTCTTCCCTTTTCCCTACATTTTCAGCATTACTTGTATGACTTTAAAATATGTGTCGGTATTGCCATTATATTTGTTTTAGATACGTGTTTATAGTCTATGACATCATTTTCTTTTCCAGTATGAGGTAAAGAGGCAAAAGTCATATGGTGAAGAAAAAAAAAGTGACAGGTGAACGAACACCATATATGATATTAACCAATAGGAAAAATAAGCAAACCCCACCCCACCCCACCCCAATTAAAAATGATTAAAAACAAAAACAAAGGTGAGGTCTTTGCACATTCTACGAATTTCAGCAACCAGACAGACGACAAAGGTGATCGCTTCGCAATCTATCAAAAAACAAATGAATAGTTACATCCCTTTGGAAACTCCAAAACGGAAACGAGGCAAGTAAATATATCTCAACATGATATGTGTCATCAAAGTTAATTGAAACAGTTTACCTTGATTGTTTTCTGCTGTGTAAATGATTAAGATTGTTGTAAAACTATACTAAGTGATTCAGTTTTGTATGGGATTACTGAAAACTTCATAAAAAGTGTGGGATTTTGTCAAAAATCTGCGCAGACGATCGTGTTTTACCAGGTGTTTACAAATATTTTACCTCGGGTATGTCACCCGACCCCCGCTTCTTTTAATTTCCTGGAGTTTCATTTCAATTCTTCTGACACTGGATTATATCACTGCAGAAAATTAGGTACGTTTAAAGATTCAAATTCAGTTATCCAATGTGTGGCCAAAAAATGACATTACAGAATTTGAAGAACCATAATAAATACTACAGTAGCGAAAGAAAACCCAAGTTTAAAGTAGTCTCATAAAAATAAAGCATCACAGAACACATTATACATTTTATGTGTGCTTATAAGGTTGCTGTTGCAGCCAGAAATACATTATTTTCACATTAATTTTGTATAAATATCTTGTGCATTACTTGTACACATGTACAACTACTACGGGTGGGCTAGTACATTGTAAGAGTAAGATCCTGAGGGTATCATACAAATGTATATATTATACATCAATGGCAGTAGTCATGTACTAAAAATGTATATCACCCCAGTAGCGGAGCGTCTTTTTACCACAGAACACCACAGAATACCACAGAACACTCAAAATGTATCACAGAACTACACAAATTACAACAATACTACTATATATACCACTGAACATTAGAATTACTTTATAAAAAGCAAATCTAATAATTCAGGATTATATTATTTCTTTAACTCGGGTTACACCAATGACATGACAATTGACTGGATGAGATAAAAATGATCATAACTTTTTTGTTATTTGGCATATTTTTTAACATTTGGAAACCCTAAACTAATGCATTGTAATAATGAATTCTAAAATGAACATTTAAAAAAATAGTTTTTAGCACAAAAAAATTACCATACGGTTTTCACAGTCTCTGATCAATATACGCTTTGATTATATTATACTAAATAATATCTTGTTTTACAAAATTTTTTTTCATGAAAATAAGAAATCTGCGAGTTAATTAAACATGTTGTTTTACAATAAAAACTTTATATAAATAAAACATGTTTTTCTACAAAAAAAAGTTGATCTGACCGATTTTAACAGCGAATATTACGCAACAAATAATATTGATCTGATCAACAGAAAGTGCTAATATTGCTTGTTTCTTTTAAAACATTAATACATTAAATTAAGAAATCTGCGAAATATGAAAGTAAAACCTTTACAGTAAAAAAATCACAAACTAATGCATGTAAACTAAGCAAAGTTTCAAAGTCAATAGACCTTGACTGAGGAGGCGGGGCCAAATAATCTCCATGGTAATGAGATGTGCCAATGCTCAATGCTAATACAACTGCATACCAAATTTCATTGACCTACCACTAGTGGTACACCATGAACTAAACTTAATCACTAATATATTGTTGACGCCACCGGCGCCGATGCCAGAAACAGCATACCTATGTCTCGCTTTTTGACTCTGTCAAGGCGAGACAAAAATTACAATAAAGATTAAAATGTAATTAAAATATAAATGTCACAAATATAAATAATCTTTGTATATTATGGTTTTAATAGCTAGGGGTTTTCAGTATGATCCCAATTATTAGCTCAGTTGGGGGCGTAGCCTTAGTGAGTTGACCCTAAACATGCCAAATAGAAAAATTTGAATTTATTTGAATAATAAATGTCAAAATATAAAAAGAATGAACAATAACACGATAATGATGTCTGAAGTATTATTATATCAAAGTTCTGTGGTAATTTTTTGGTGTTCTGTGGTATTCTGTGGTAAAAAGACGCTCCCCAACCCCCCCAGTGAAGAAAGAATAATGTAGTATTGATAGGTTCTGTTCATTTGCAGTATGAGCAGGAAACAGACATTATTTTGTCTTTACTTGTACTAACCATTGCTAACTAGGAATGGAGTTCTGGAAATGTACATGTATCTCCTAGTCATTTCCAGTGGCTGTAGCATATTTATATAAGACCCCCTCCCTTTTGAAGAAACAAATTACGTGTATTAATATGAAAATATGATTAATGCATACAACATGGACATATATGCTGTATCAATTATAAATTGTGCATGGTAAAACACAGTGTAATACACATGTATTAAACCCATGTGCCTCTTTTAGTGATTCAGTTATAAGACTTCAGTACTAAATGTCAATTTCAATTTTTATACTTAAAAAAATTGTCAGGACATTTTTTAAGAAATGAACTAACATTTATAAAGTTCAGGACATTTACAGAGAAAGGTGTAACACATGCTTAGTTGAATCACTGCTCTTTTTTTCAAAATCCTGGATCTGCCACTTATCTCTGCATATCAATAAGTCTATATCTACATGTACAATGTAGTATTATATACATGTCCTTTGGCTAATCAAACTTTATGGCGGTCCTAGCAATAGTGAATAAATCTAAATATGTGCTTCAATTATAATTTTTTTAATATTTTTTTACAATATTTCACAGTAAATAACATTTTTTTTATATTTTAGGTTGATTATAGTTGAGGATGTAGAGAATTGTAATGGTCTGAAATGCATAGGACATGTGTAGACTGTTACAATTGGTTTCATGAAGTATGCCAATGAAAGTGACAGTCTGTTTTGATAGAGTCAGAGTTATTGTTCCTTGTGGAGATGGTGAGATTCCAGTGCATAGTTTAATAGAAAAGGCCATTACAAGATTTAAAAAGGCAACAGCAAAGGTAACTATAAGTCATTAATGCTTGATAGGAACATTTTCCAGTTTTAAATAAATAAATGTAAATGTATATACATGTATATTAATCGTCAGAGGATTTAAGTACTGGTCAGTACAATTACTACTTTCAAGATGTAGTCATATTTTTGTACATGTAGTCAATTTTAGATATGCATATATGAATTAAATCAAACCAATGTAGTGAAATAAACCCTTGATAAATTTTGTGCATCTTTTTTTGTATTTACTAGCATCAAGAATGCTCAAGCCTAAACATTTGAAAGCTATGGATGCTGAATTCACTGAAATGTTAGGGATTTATGACCATCTCATAATACATACATGTAGCTATATATACAGTGTAGGTGATCAACACTTGAACAGAAAGTACAAAATGCACATGTTAGTTTAGTTGAGATTTCATCAAACTATTATTTGAAATTTAATAAAATTCAATATACATGTAACATGGCAGTCTGCACCGTTAGACCCTAATCCGATGCCCCCGACTAGTAAAATTTTGTTCGGACTAGTAAGTGTTTGCAAATCTATGTTTAGTCACACAAGAAAAATGTTGAAATATTGGTCTACAGACTAGTAGTTAGAAAATATTTTGGTGCAGACTGCCGTTGGACATGTATGAATTATAAAGATACAAAATGTAAGTTTACTTTTCTGTTCAATTTATTGATGACTAATGTACATGTTAGATGCATTGTAAAGTATACATTCTGAATTCCAAAGGGTTTTTGGAAAATTTGCAAAATAAAAATCTGTTTCTATTCTTTTAAAGTTTTTTGACCTTCAGAATGACTACTTCAGTGTTTTAAGAAGGGTGTTGCATACTGCTACTTTTTGTCCATTGATCTAGGCCTGATAGTTCAGCCCAAAGCTTAGGCTTAGGGCAATTTATATGAAATGAACATTATAATTTGGAATACTATTGATTTCTGGTTTAATGTGATGGAATAAAGGTAAAAATACATTTTTGTCATATTTGTAGTGAGATTTATAACCTTGTGCTTACAAAGACCTGATTTGGTCAGTGTATCAAATAAATGAGTGAGTTCAAAATGCTATCATTTCTGTGTGTGTACCCAAATTCTTCAAGAAAAATGATAATTTTTGTAGAAGTGTATAGATACATGTTCATGTAGATATAAAAAAATATGCAAGCAATTTTTCTTTTGACTGATATACAAGTGTAAATCACCTCTGTATAAAGGTGAATCACTAAGAATATATAAACCTTTAATGAACTTGAATTCTTATCATGGTAAAGTATATAAAATAGTTTATTCTACAATGGATTCTACAATGGATCATATATTAATAAATTGATTTATCAGATTGTAACATTGTCATCATAATGTCTAGCATTTAAGGTTGTCTCAGATGGTTGACTCCAGATATTTGAGTTATGTAAGATTATCAACAGAATTTACACCTTTATCTGATAGTTCAAATATTACCCCATCTTATTGAATTATAAATAGGTCAGTATCTGTTTACCTGAGGTTGTTAAGAAAGGGGTGTGTCTTAGATTTGTTGTGCACTGAAGGATATATAACTGATAAAGGAAGTGAAATTGGTTTACACTTTGTCATTTTCAAATATTGATTGTCTAAATTCATTTGAATACACTACATTAAACATTGACAATAGGATGGCCATCATGATCCTTATAATGTTATTAATTAATCCATTTTAGTTATCTGTTTAATTCCATGTGGATTTGACTTGCATATCATGTATCCTTATACATGGTGGTTAATTGAATACTACAAAATTTGGTAAAAAACCATAAAATGTGTTTGTGAGGTTAATAATTAACTCTAAAATATACGTGTTTATTAAAATTGACTTGACTTTGTTGAAATGTAATCATGTCATAAATGTGCTTGTTAAAATTATGTCCATATGACTATGAGTATGGATCTGCAGTCTCTCAGGTAAAACCCAAAACATTTTTTGTGAAATAGGGTATACTCAAGTACAATTTGTATGAAGGGCTTCAGAAAAGAAATGTGCTCACTGTCAATTGCAAATCTTTTACAAACCCTGATAAACTTCAAAAAAGGAAACATTACACTTCTCATTATATCAATTTATTGCTAAAACTATGATAATACAAGTTAAATCAAGCTTTTTCCATTGTTTTGTTTCAAATAATCCTTTGCATTGTTGTAGCATTATCATAAAGAGTACATGTAGTCATAAATTTTGCATTTAGTTTGGATATAAAACATGACATTTAATATAAATACCACATGATTGTTGTCAGCAAATCAACATGTTGGAATCTTTATGAAACATCTTTTGTTATTTAATTGTTGAGAATACAGCTTGTGGTCATTGGAAATAAAACATATTCTTTTCTTTCTTAAACTTTCTTGGTGGTAATATGATCGGTTTGACTCCGAAAGGTCGATGCCCATCCTGGTCAAATCAAAGGCTTTAAAATTAGTATTTGATGCTTCTCTACAAACATGCAGCATTGATAAGGAGTAAGAGCAAAGACTGGTCTGCCCCAAGTCACAATAATGTGTAAGGATAGGGTGACTACAGACTGTTACCTTTTGATCTAGCATGTTAAAAATCTGGCTCAGAGTGTTGGTCTAGTATAAAGCAAGGTAGATATTCATATTGCATTAATATGTTTCTTTCCTGAATATCAGAATATGAATTGAATTTGCCATTGGACCATAAACAGCCATTCATCATCATCGTGTTTATAAAAGTATTTAGTAGAGGATAGCTGTTGTAATAAATCCTTTTTGAAATTTTAATAATGTAATAAATGTTAGTAGCTCTATGTTTCACAGTAGATAAATGCAAGCCGTTTTGAATTGATTGAAATTATGTAATAATATTATTGATATATATCCTGCATTTTACTTAAAAATGGGTCATTAATTTTGAGGACTTTATTAGTATTCTTACATGTAAGTTCTTTTTTGTGTATATTTATTTACATGAAACCTTCCCTATTCATTTAATAAGTAAAAAAAAATTTGTTTTAAAATACTTAAGTTAAACATAGGAAAACAAGAAAAGAGTACATATTGAAAGCATCATGTACATCCTGTTATAGCTAGTTCTTAATGATCCAAAGTCTAAAGCATTGTGAATAAATTAAGTTAGACTGTAAAAGATCTACCATCAACACTTCAAACTTTCAAGGACAAAAACATTAAGTTATATGCAAAGACAACCTTTGGCAGGTTTCTTGACTTCTGACTGGTACATTTAATTTTGGCAGGGCTATACTAGTTTTTGAGCTCAAATTGTCAACCAAAGTCTTTTTTTTTATGTTTGTAAAATAAGACATAGGAGAATGTATGGTAAATATAAAGTGAGATTTTAACTTTATAAAATTGGTTTAATCAAGATAACAGATTACAAATACAGACAGGAAAAATAATACTACATATGTAATTTATATGGTATCAGATGACCAGTAGTCTAATGGAAACTTTACAATTTAGGTTTATATAAATAAAATGTATGAACGAATTGTTCATTGTACATAAAGTGTAAACATATACAATGATTTCGTACTTTACCCTGTAAAGTTATCTACATGTATGTTGACAAATAAAACATAACATTTGACCTTTTTAATACAAACCTGGGAGAGCTTTGATTACTAATAGTCAAAACAGAACTGATCATGTGGGTATTAAAATGGTAAGTCAATATTTAATTGTAGTAGCTACATTTGTGCAAAAAGAAAATATACATGTATGCTTTATATTTGATTAAGATATGGCAATGAGAAATATTTTTTTAAGGAAGAAAACGGAAAAGGTTGGATGGAATCAGTTACTCAAATTTTACGTTAATGTTCCAAACACCTTTTATCTGAGTTGAATCATGGAATTTTATTATAAATACAAATTGTATGGAATTAAATAGAAATCTCAAAAAAATAAAGTTGGTATTTCAGCATGTACATGTATATGTTATTTTGTTTTTAATTAATTGCTTGGTAAATATATTAAACTTTAAATCAGGTAAAATATATAGAAATGGCAGAACATGGTCTATGGCTTTAAAATTCTTATTGAAATTTGTTGATGAATGTTGCAACATGTATATAAAAAGGATCTTATTTTAAAAGCCCAAAATGAACCAGATATTTGGTTTTATTTTAGCAGCAAAAAATTAAGAGGTTCAGTTGAGTAACCTGTTACATGATTATCATTTATTTGTTTATGTTTACATATAATAATATATAATGATAACTTGAGACCCCATTATATTTTATATGTACATACATGTATGTCTACATGGTAATTAAATTTGCAGTCATTTCAATGCTTTATTTGTACACTTGTAAAGAATACTGCAGTATTCTGTTTCTAACTTTATACAAACTGTACAATGTACAAATGTATACATGCAAGTAAATGAATAATATTGATTGATTGTTGTTTGCCTTACATCCAGTGGCAAATATTTCATGCATGTTTGAAACCTTAAGTAGAGAATAACTAATCGAAGAATTTAAATATAGAAAAAATATTCAACAATTGACAGAACAACACATTTATTCATGAATGTGTAGTGCATGAGCTAATTATCAGTGTTCCCAATTTCCTTTTGATGCAGGGTCATCGACAATCTTGACAACACCCATTAATGTATAACATCAGAGGAGTAAAATTATCAGATTTATTTCACATGTGAAATTATCGGTTTTTATTAGACTGGAAAATCATGGCATTTCATTGCAGTCAATGTAATAAATGCATAATAACCATTTTGTGGAAACCTAATAAAAATATTAATTTGGATGCATTATATTGTAGTCTGCTGATTATTGGGTGTCAGTAAACAACCTAAGAACAACTGATGGTGGAATACTAGACCCTGATGATTTACTTGTTGATGTGGTTGATGACAAAGAACAGGTAATTATCTCCCCTTTCATACAGATTTCTCAAAATCTTTTTTAGCCTGGTGGTCATTTAGACCATCAAGAATACAACTGGTGGTCCAAGTGAAAATTTGGATGTCCTGTATTTGCAAATTTTATTTTTCTATCAATCTTTCCCATACATGTAGGTATAAATTATTAGATAAGGCCAATTTGCACAATGATACGGTAATTATATGGTTCCATATCAAATACAGTGTTCTGATATACATTGTAATCAGGTCCTATACTTAATTTCAGACAGCAAAAATAAAAGAATAAAGCCACCACACAAATTTTAAGTTCCATAACTAGACAACCTCTACACTCAAAATTGGCTGACCTTATTGTTTTTTTTTGTGGTCAGGACCTAGTTTTTGAGAACACTGTTCATATTTTTTGTGAGCAGTATTGTAGTTATGTGTAAGTTTGTTTTCTATCTTCAGCTGCCAAGTCATCTCTTTGAAACTCATGTCTCCATTACAGAACCCAAAAAACCGTCTTCAATAGATAGGCCAAAAGAAATTGTCTTCAATAGAAAGATTACTTTGCTATTGTTTTAATGGTCATAATTAAGTTCAACATAGGTTAACTTGAACAAGACTTTCAGCTACTCAACTTCTCAGAATAAAAGATGTGGCATTTGTATCAATTGTGCAACCACCAAACAACACACACACAAAAAGTAAAACGAACATCTAGAGTTCATTTGGTATTTATTGCCATTTTTTATACGACTACAAAAAAATTTTGGGATCATATAATGGTATGATATCGTCGTCGTTGTCTGCGTCGTCGTCCGAAGACACATTGGTTTCCGGACAATAACTTTAGTTTAAGTGAATGGATCTCTATGAAATTTTTTAAGAAGGTTCAATACCACAAAAGGAAGGTTGGGATTGATTTTGGGGATGATGGTCCCAACCGTTTAGGAATTAAGGGCCGAAAAGGGGCCCAAAACAAGCATTTTTCTAGTTTCAGGATAATAACTTGTGTATAAGTATTTCAATTGCTCTGAAATTGTACCACAATGTTTAATACCACAAGTAGAAGGTTGGGATTCATCTAAGGGGTTATGGGGCCAACAGTTTAGGAATTAAGGGCCAAAAAGGGGCCAAAAACAGTTTCCAGACAATAACTTGTGTGTAAGTGTATGGATCTCTCTAAATTGTACTACAAGGTTCCATACTACAAAGGAAAGGCTGGGATTGAGTAATGGGGTTATTGCTCCAAGGAGGCTTTCAAAAAGTTTGGGGGGGGGGGGATTTTTTTTCCAATTTTTTTAGGGGATTCATATTTTTTTTTCAAAATTTTTCACATTTCGAATTTTCAAAAATTTTCAAGAAGAAATCTTCCATTGCACAGTATTGCGCAATAGATTTGAAAGATCTTTGACCACATTTATTTTGTGTCAGAAACTTATATTATGTCAAAAATTTGATCACAATCCAAATTCAGACAGTATCAAGCTTGAATATTGTGTCCAAATTTGCCCCAACTGTTCAGGGTTTGACCTCTGTGGTCGTATCAGGCTGCGCTCAGCGAAGCATTTTATCTGCAATTATTATTAATAGAACGTAAGGATAAACATTTCTATTAATGTTGTATTGAGTGAACTTTTACTGTTAGCCAACATGGCTGTCATAACTATATATAGAAATTTGGCGTAAAACATTTTAAAACAATATTAATATAGCATTTAGTAAAGAAACTATTAAACTCTACAACAGCAACCTACCATTTCATATTTATAGCTTCTAGCAGATTATGAGGAGCAGGGAGTAAATAACTACCAACCACACAATGGAGATGGTGCTAGTGCCTCATCAACAGGTACAGCTAGTCCAGAACCTGTAGAGAGACCTAAAACATATCACAATGTTAATGAAGATGATACAGTAGTGGTCACACCTAAAGATCTCTCAGCTGGTATGTATCTTGTAAATGGATTAGTCCTTGCAAAAATATTGTCAGTAACGAAAAAAAAAATTATAATACTGAAGCATCTGATTTAAACTTTATAAACTCCAATAGATGCTTTATCTGGTTGATTATGTTGTTTGGTAATGTTCAGTTGCTGTGTTATACCTTACTTCCCCCTTTATTCACATCCAATAAAAAATGGTTAATCAATAATAGAAAATTGAGTCAAGTGTAATTGAACTTTTAAATTACATACATTGTACATTTATTTTCAGGTTCAAGGTTGAGAGTGCGACGAGGTAGTGAACCCACGCTTCATGTTCTGAATGACAACATATCAGCCCCTGTAAATTGTGAAGTCAAAAATGTAAGTACAGTATAAATTGGAGAATACAGATGTACTCTTTACATTATTTTTGTGTTGATTGCAAAAATGAATATATTTGAAAATAGAATGAATGAATAAATTATCTTCCTTTACTTACATTATACAATCTACAACATCTTCATCATGTATCTCACCTGCTTTTTATACGACCGCAAAAAAATTTTTGTGGTCGTATATTAGTATGACGTTGGCGTCGTCGGCGTCTTCCAGCGTCGTCCGAAGACACATTGGTTTTCGCACTCTAACTTTAGTTTAAGTGAATGGATCTCTATGAAATTAAGAAGGTTCAATACCACAAAAGGAAGGTTGGGATTGATTTTGGGGATGATGGTCCCAACCGTTTAGGAATTAAGGGCCGAAAAGGGGCCCAAAACAAGCATTTTTCTAGTTTCAGGATAATAACTTGTGTATAAGTATTTCAATTGCTCTGAAATTGTACCACAATGTTTAATACCACAAGTAGAAGGTTGGGATTCATCTAAGGGGTTATGGGGCCAACAGTTTAGGAATTAAGGGCCAAAAAGGGGCCAAAAACAGTTTCCAGACAATAACTTGTGTGTAAGTGTATGGATCTCTCTAAATTGTACTACAAGGTTCCATACTACAAAGGAAAGGCTGGGATTGAGTAATGGGGTTATTGCTCCAAGGAGGCTTTCAAAAAGTTTGGGGGGGGGGGGGGGATTTTTTTTCCAATTTTTTTAGGGGAAATTAAATTATCTTCCTTTACTTACATTATACAATCTACAACATCTTCATCATGTATCTCACCTGCTTTTTATACGACCGCAAAAAAATTTTTGTGGTCGTATATTAGTATGACGTTGGCGTCGTCGGCGTCTTCCAGCGTCGTCCGAAGACACATTGGTTTTCGCACTCTAACTTTAGTTTAAGTGAATGGATCTCTATGAAATTTTAACACAAGGTTCAATACCACAAAAGGAAGGTTGGGATTGATTTTGGGGGTTATGGTACCAACAGTAAAGGAATTAGGGGCCAAAAATAAGCATTTTTGTAACTTCCAGACATAACTTGTGTGTTAGTGTATGGATCTCTCTGACATTGTACCACAAGGTTCCATATCACAAAAGGAATGCCGGGAATGATTTTGGGGGTAATTGCCTCAAAATTTAAGGAATAAGGGGCCAAAAAAGGGGCAAAAAACAAGCATTTTTCTAGTTTCATGACAATAACTTGTGTGTAAGTGTATGGATCTTTCTGAAATTGTACTACAAGGTTCCATATCACAAAGGGAAAGCTGGAATTGAGTTTGGGGGTAATTGCCGAAACGTTTAGGAATTGGGGGCCAAAAAGGGGCCAAAAATAAGCATTTTTCTAGTTTCCAGACAATAACTTGTGTTCAAGTGTATGGATCTCTCTGAAATTGTACTGCAAGGTACCATACCACAAAGGGAAGGCTTGGATTGAGTTTCGGGGTGATGAATCATAAGGGGGTTCAAAAAATTAGGGGGAGGGGGATTTTTTTTCTTTCCTTTTTTTTCTTTTTTTCCTTTTTTTTTCTTTTAAAATTTTCCATTTTAAGTTGGTTATTTCTGATTTATATTTAAAAGCAAATAATAATGATATGGTAGGAGATACACACCAAACAGGATGTGTAAATTATTATATGATAAGTATTGTGCAATAGCAAGACATTTTCAATTGCACAGTATTGAACAATAGCAAGAAATCTTCAATTGCACAGGGGGGCCTCGGTGGCCGAGTGGTCTAAATAGTTACTACTGTAATCTCTAGCCAGTCAACACTGAGGTTGTGAGTTCGAACCTCGCTCGTGCGGGTGCACTCGACTCCAATCTTAATTGACTAGGATTGTCAGTTTTCCTATCGAAGGTCGTGGTTTTCTCCGGGCACTCCGGCTTCCTCCACCAATAAAAACTGGCCGCCACGAAATAGCCCAAAAGCGGTGCTTAAAAGTGGCGTTAAACACCAAAAATCAATCAATCAATTGCAAAGTATTGCGCAATAGCAAGAAATATCCAATAGCACAATATTGCGCAATAGCAAGAAATTGTCAATTGTACAGTATTGCGCAATAGCAAGAAATATTTAATTGCACAGTATTGTGCAAAAGAAGATACTATGTATAAATTGCTTATTTCTTGACCTATTTCAATGGGGTTTTATTCTTGAATTCTTGGGGTTCTTTAATATGCTGAATCTAACCGTGTATTTAGTTTTTGGATTTTGGGCCCCATTTTTAAATTGGTCCACATTGAGGTCCAAAGGGTCCAAAATTAAACTTTTTTTTTGTTTGATTTCATCAAAAATTGAATTATTGGGGTTCTTTGATATGCCGAATCTAACCGTGTATTTAGATTCTTAATTTTTGGTTCCGTTTTCAAATTGGTCTACATTAAGGTCCAAAGGGTCCAAAATTAAACTTAGTTTGATTATAACAAAAATTGAATTCTTAGGGTTCTTTGATATGCTGAATCTAAACATGTATTTAGGTTTTTGATTATGGGCCCAGTTTTCAAGTTGGTCCAAATCGGGGTCCAAAATTAAACTTTGTTTGATTTCAACAAAAATTGATTATATGGGGTTCTTTGATATGCTGAATCTAACCATGTATTTAGATTTTTGATTTTTGGGCCCCGTTATCAACTTTGTCCACATTGAGGTCAAAAGGGTCCAAAATTAAACTTTGTTTGATTTCATCAAAAATTGAATTCTTGGGGTTCTTTGATATGCTGAATCTAACCATGTATTTAGATTTGGATATTGGACCATAATAGGTGAATGTCCAATTTAAAATTTTTAAGTTCTTAGACCACATTCATTCTGTGTCAGAAACCTATGCTGTGTCAAATATTTAATCACAATCCAAATGCAAAGCTGTATCAAGCTTGAATGTTGTGTCCATACTTGCCCCAACTGTTCAGGGTTCGACCTCTGCGGTCGTATCAAGCTGCGCCCTGCGGAGCATTTTATTCACATTTGGATGCAAGACTGCATATAGCAAAGTGAGCATTATAGTTGACCAATTTAATATAAGCAGAAAGTTGTAACAATCTATATTTTCACAAGATATGAACACTTAAACGGTTATTTAGCCATTCTTTGAATTTATCTCAAGTTCCTTTTTGACAATCCGTTGGAAATTAACTTAATTTTTTGGTAAAACATTCTGAATTTAGCCTTTTAGACACAGATGGATGTTTCCTCAGAAAATATGCAGAAAAGTAACAAAAATATATATGTTCCAGGCTAATATCAATTCTAAGAACACAAAGAAATGGGATAGTTTTTTGGGGGGATGATTTTAACATTGCTATTTAATTGTTATGATAATATGTTATTATATAATTTTATATTGAGTGACAATGAAAGATTGGTAATTATAACCAAGGTGTCCTGTACCATTGATTTTATTTTTAGTACACCTGGCCCGAAGGGCCAAGTGTGCTTTTCTCATCACTTGGCGTCCGTCGTCTTTAACTTTTACAAAAATCATCTCCTCTGAAACTACTGGGCCAAATTAATCCAAACTTGACCACAATCATCATTGGGGCTCTAGTTAAAATAATATGTCCGTTGACCCCGCCTGCCAACCAAGATGGCAGACATGGCTAAAAGTAGAACATATGGGTAAAATGCAAGTTTTGTCTATTATTTTGAAAATCGTTATAAATAGAGAAAATCTGACAGGTGTATAAATGTTCAGAATGCTGTGCTCTAGCAATTCTTCAGATGTGTCAAAACTGTCAGATGACTTCTTATAGGAGTTATTGCCCTTAAATGACAAATTTTACCATTTTTTTTAATTTTTGCCTATTATCTTGAAAACTATAATAGATAGAGAGAAACTTTTAAGTGCAAAAATGACCAGCAAGACAAGTACTATAAATAAGTCTGCATTGTCGAAATCTTCAGTCGACTCTTTATTAGAGTTATTGCCCTTTAATGACGATTTTTACCAATTTTTTGCATGTTTTGTCTTATATCTTAAAAAATATAATAGATAGATGGAAACTAAAATATGCAAAAATGATCAGCAAGACAAGATCTACAATTAAGACTCTTTAGAGAAAATTTTCTGACGACTCCTTATTGGAGTTATTGCACTTTAATGAAGATTTTTACCATTTTTTTGGCGTTTTGCTTTATAGGAAAAAATGATAATAGATAAATAGACACTTTAAATCACAAGAATGATCAACAAGACAAGATCTACTAACAAGTGAAATTTAGTAGATATAGTTAGTAGACTGTCACTTTTTATAGGAGTGATTGCCCTTAAATGAGGATTTTTTTTTTTCCCTCTTTTGTGTTTTGAGCAAAAAGTAAAGAAGATAGAGAGAAACGATACAGACTAAATGATCAGCAATACAAGATTAACAAAATAGAGATTTTTGTCATGAATTCTATTCTCGTACACAATGTTGGAGAGTGTCCTTTGTTGAATATGCACATAGACCAAGGTGAGCGATACAGGCTCTTTAGATCCTCTAGTTACACATCTTACTTTCATTTTACCAATAACAATTTTGATTATAAAAAAGAATTCATATTAGAATTGAATTACAGGATAGTAAGCTTTATAACTAAAGCAATGTTATTTTAGGAATCTCTTTAATATCAGTTTATCATATACATGTTTGACAGTCATGGTTTATATTTTATCTCAGTAGACCCTGTTAATTGTAGATACAAACCATCAGTTAGCAAGTATCGTTTACAAGCACATAACTTGAACATTAAAACTGAAAGGATTTTAAATATTAACAGAAATGCTAGAATATGTAATATGTGTAACTGTAATTCTGTAGAGGGTAATTACCATTTTATTTTGGAATGTATTAAGTATAATTTATAAAGAAATCATATAAATTATATTAAACCTTATTTCTGGAGAAGACATTAGCATTTAAACTTATACAATTGTTATCTGTTCGCTGTATGAAAGAAATAAGAATATTGGAAAGTATTTATACAATGCTTGAAGCATTTTTATTTTTAAT